CAAGGACAGGGACGATGTCAGGGGCAAGGACAGGGACGATGTCAGGGGCGATGTCAGGGGCGATGTCAGGGGCAAGGACAGGGACAACGTCAGGGACAAGGACAGGGACGATGTCAGGGGCGATGTCAGGGACAATGTCAGGGACAAGGACAGGGACAAGGACAGGGACAAGGACAGGGACAAGGACAGGGACGATGACAGGGACGATGACAGGGACGATGACAGGGACGAGGACAGGGACGAGGACAGGGACAAGGACAGGGACAAGGACAGGGACAAGGACGATGTCAGGGACGATGACAGGGACGATGTCAGGGATAGTGTCAGGGACGATGTCAGGGATGACGTCAGGGACAATGACAGGGACAAGGACAGGGACGATGTCAGGGACGATGTCAGGGATGAAGACAATGTCAGGGACAAGGACAGGGACAAGGACAGGGACAAGGACAGGGACGATGTCAGGGATGATGTCAGGGACAAGGACAGGGACAAGGACAGGGATGATGTCAGGGACAAGGACAGGGACAAGGACAGGGACCATGTCAGGGATGAAGACAATGTCAGGGACGAGGACAGGGACGAGGACAGGGACAAGGACAGGGACGATGTCAGGGATGATGTCAGGGACGAGGACAGGGACGAGGACAGGGATGATGTCAGGGACCACATCAGGGACGATGTCAGGGACGATGCCAGGGACAAGGACAGGGACCATGTCAGGGACAAGGACAGGGACAAGGACAGGGACAAGGACAGGGACCATGTCAGGGTCCACATCAGGGACGAGGACAGGGACCATGTCAGGGATCAGGACAGGGACGAGGACAGGGACAAGGACAGGGACGATGCCAGTGCCACACGGCTGGGGGGAGTTGTGCCCTCACCTCTTGTTGGACACATTGGTGGTGACAGCGGTGACAGAGGCCAGCGAGACCGTGTCCGGCTCCAGCCCCGTCCCGCCCCTCAGCGCCCTCCTGTCCAGGTCCTCCGGCTCCAGCACGGCCGGTTCGTCTGCGGGGGGACACAGAGGGACAAAGGGACCGCGGGGGTGCCACACAAAGGGACAAAGGGACGGCCCGCGGTTCGTTTTCCACCCCGTGAATAATTCAGGAGGCGGACAAAGGGGAATCCAAGCCGGAGGGAGGGGACAGCGGCCACCGGGGCAGGGCAGGGCCAGCCCGAGCCCAGACGGGGCGATTGAGGAGCCCGGGGCTCGAGTGACGCGGTAATTCCACCCGGGAACGATTCCCGGGGAGGCAGAACAAAGGGAAGAAAGGATGAGCGCCCCAAACTTCGGGGGTGAAAGAGCCCTCGGGCAAGGGCGGGGGCTCTGTCGCAAAGATAAACAACTGGGGGGGGGGAAATACGGGGGAAACGGGTCGTTTTCTCCAGGTGGAAAATTGCTGCGGGATGAGGGAAGAGCCCAGAGCCCACCGGCACTGGGGCACGAGTCCAGATTTCCCTTGGAAGAAGTTGCCGAGATGCTCCTTTCCTGGGAAAAAGGGTGTCCCCAGCTCAGCTGGGAGGATTTTGGGATGAATCAGAGCCCCAGTAGATGGGAAGTGCTGCCTCCAGCTCTGGGACCAGCACGGGCAGGTCATGGAAATCCTAGAGAGGGACAAGAGGAGGCCCCGGAGATGCTGCCAGGGCTGGAGCCCCTCTGCTCTGGAGCCAGGCTGGGAGAGCTGGGAATGGCCAGGCTGGAGAAGGGAAGGATCCCGGGAGAGCTTGGAGCACATTCCAGAGCCTGAAGGGGCTCCAGGAGAGCTGGAGAGGGACTGGGGATCAGGGCCTGGAATGACAGGCCCCAGGGAATGGATCCCAGTGGGAATGCAGACAGTGAGATCCATTCCCTGCCCATGGATCGGGATCCGTTCCCTGCCCATGGATCGGGATCCCTCCCTGCCCATGGATCGGGATCCGTTCCCTGCCCATGGATCGGGATC